TATTTTCACTCTGTTCTTTTTCCCCCCATTAATGAATCCTCAATCCTCACCAGTATATCGTCCACTTTACCAATGTGCACTATTTTGCTTAATGACCTCCTGTATGGGGGCCTTTTGGAAAGCCAGCTGGAAATCCATACACACCATTTCCCCTGGCTTGCCCTCATCTACTCTGCTAATGATTATCTTCAAAAATACAAAGGAAGGTGCTGTTCTAGTACACTTTTACAAGTTGTAGCAAAAGAATAGTTCATAGCTCATGCATTTGGCTAATCACAGGAAAAACAGTGAATTTGCAAAAGTCAATTGATTCTTGCCAGTCATCTTAATATCTTGTTCGTGCCTATTTTGAAAGAAAGAGCATAGTTCCCTGAAGCTTCCATAAGGACACTAATAGGGGAAAACAAAGTCTAAGCTTGTCATTACAAATACAACATATCTGTACTCACATGCCAGTTGGTTCAAATGAGCACAATAATCAGCTCAATGTGCTGTGTTCAGGCCCACTCAGAGACAACCACCATTAGGCACAATGACATTCATTCAGGGTTCATGTCTTTTTGGCAGAATAACCAGCTGTTATGTGTATATATTTTTTTTTTTAAAACCTGGCCATACCCATAAATCAGTATAAATAAAAGCAAAAAATACCTCAGATGCTGGAAATCTGAAACAAACAGAAAATTCTGGAAAAACCTCAGCAGGACCGGCAGCGTCTGTAAAGAGAAAAAAAAAAGTTAACATTTTGGGTTCAGTTCGAATGAGGAGGTTGTAGTGGACTTGAAATGTTAACTCCCTCACTCCCCAGACGCTGCCAGACCTGCTGAGTTTGTCCAGCATTTTCTGTATTTGTTCCATGTCCAGGAATGCTTGACATCCAGACAGCATTTGTCCCACTTTTTTTTGTGAGCAGACACTTGGAATCTGCTAAATAAAAACTGAAAGAACTGGAAGATGCTAAAAATCAGAAATAAAAACAAACAAACTGCTGGAAAACCTCAGCAGGTCTGGCAGCATCTGTGGAGAGAAATCAGAGTTAATGTTTCGGGATGGGTGATGCTTCCTCAGAACGGAAATAAGAACTGTTCTAAGGAAGGGTCACTTGACCTGAAACATTAACTGATTTCTCTCCACTGATGCTGCCACACCTGCTGAGTTCAGCTTTCCCAGCAATTTCTGTTTTTGTTCGTGACTTGGAATCTGCTGGCGAGACCGCTGAAGTAATTATCTTTAATTTTTGTGCATGTGTAGCAAGTACACTTTGGGCACTTCTCCTGATGGCCCTACATTCACAGGCAGGACAGCACTACTGCACTTCCTCACTCTTCCCTTTACCCACACCCACTCCCTCAAACACCTAGTCTTCTGGCAATGCAAAAAAAAAAAAAAAAAAGTGTGTCTCTTATATATTACCTGACACACAGTCAGCTTGCATTTTAGTGTCCTCGGTATCTGGTTACCAAAGCTATTGCAGAGACTCCATTTCTACTTGATATCGATATCAGCTTAATTTATTGCCTCAGCCGTAAAGAAGCATTCCAGTTTATTGGCACTGCACTCTTCCCCTGTGCTGCAATGAAAGTCATATTTCTTATACTTTTTATTTGTCTGTAAAGTTCATTCCATTAAGTGAAAGTGATCTAACTTTGCAAAACACAAACAACTCCAATTTTATGATTATATCAATAATCAGAATAACAAAAAAAAAACATATTGAAAAACAGAACAGTGGAACAATGAACTTGTGTCTATGGCAGCATGGACATAAAGCTGACATTTAGGTGAGCTTCCCAGCACTCATGATTTTAATGCATTACAATGAGGAATTAAAATAAACAAGAATTTTCCAAACTCTCTTCAACATGGAACTCATTGAAATCAACTTTCAATATCTGCAAGTTAGTGCTGTCACACAGCAGTTTGTGATTAGCTTTCAAGCTAGTGCGACAGTATTGCAATGAAAAATTAAAATTAACAATTTTCCAAACTATTTTCAAAATGAGGCTAATTTAAATTAGCTTTCAGTTCTGCAAGTTAGCACTGGCACACAAGTTTGGCAACAAACTTCAACAATTTAGTGTTTCCTATTCAACAAGGGTTCTACTGAAGGGCGATACTTAACTCATTTAGCATTAGTGAAATAAATCTTTATTAGCTTGATCAAAGATAGTGGTGTCAAGTGTCAGACTGCCTGCTTCTCTTCTCTACCATACCCTATCTTCTACCCCAATTGCTAACATTACAGTTTGTCTTCTAAATAATGATACAGTTCCTACCAATCCTTAATTAAAACAAAATCCGTTTGTTCTCGTGCTCATGGATGAAGAGTGTAGCAAAGTTATTTCCTGACACACTTTATTATCCTGGACGAGTTATTAGTCAAACTGTTAAAATACAATTTAAAAAAGTAACAGGTCAATATCAATTGTACATGGCCTCCCTTACAATTGTAAAATTATTTTTGGTTGAAGACAAATTAATAGTCACATACAACTTTTATACTATTACTTTAGATTTTTAGCTATTATGAACCCACGAGCTCCTTCAACAACCCTATTAGCTCAACCGATAGCTAAAGTTGTTGTAATTGGCTGAATTATAGCAGTTATGATATTTTAATAAGTTGAACGACACCAAAAATTCATTTTTCACTTTAAACAACTTGTCATGCAACAATTCAATTTACACCACCAGAAAAAGGTTAATATTGAACAAACTGGGTAAAGCCCCTAATGGTCATATTAAAGATACTTAAAAATGAAATGACTAGCAGTGAGACTAAGTTGCTTATTTTTAAAAGAGTATCAGCAGCATGCAAGAGTTTAACATGCAGAAAACTAGAGTTTCCAAAATAGACACTCTGCCAGACATCACACTCAGTTTAATTTGAAAGGGTATTAAATGTTGCAATTAATATCTCTTTGCAAAATCTTATACCCTCTGCTTCCCTAAGCAACAATTTGACAAATCTAACACCTGAGCATTTTAACAAAGTCATAAAACATTAGGAGGAAATGGACTAAATAGTTATGTAAATCTATCGTAAAATCAATATATTTTGCTAAACATTTCTGCTACTGGTTTCAAATATTTATACAAACATCAATGATGTAGGATTAAAAGGTATCTATCTCAGGAAAAGCTCTGCAAATCTGCCAGGAGCTGTCGACATCCAGTGACGCCCATTAAAACACACGAGAACTTGATTCAGAATATGAGATGCACTCATCTCATCAAGAACTAAACACATTTGCAGCCACAAGAGAGACAATCATGCATTCAATTTTCTTGAAAATACAAAAGGGATTTAGCTGGAAACAATCCACATATCAGCATCAGAATTAACATGTAAATCACAAATTGCTATTACACTCCTTTGGATAAACTTGGATGGAGAATAACGAGCTTGGATATAGCTGTTTGCTAGTATAAATTTTGAGCATTGCTGAAAAAATGTTTTTGTCAAAACATTTCATCTCTCACTCTCCTGGGCATTTTGCAACAATACCCAAAACACGGGAAAGAAACAACGTTTATTGTATAAAGAGGAGAATGCTGATTAGTTTACTGATCAAGGTGTTGCCATGCAAAGTGTATCTGTTAATGGTGAATGACAGTTAAATGCCAGACTTTGTTTAAATTTTAAGTCAGGTAGGTTGACACTGATTTCCAAGGGCATTTCCCTGAGCAATGAATCTGGGAATGGCCGGCACCTATAGCTATCAACTTATCCTGAGCGTGTGAAGAACTGTGCTGACAACTAATTTAGGATTGTCAGTCAGGTTCAATGTGTGCACTTGTGTACACTAGAAGGTACACATATTCATACACAGGGCCCAGTCCTTTCCAGACAGAAAGAACATGTACAAACACTGCATCGGTTTCAACTCAACAAAACAGGTGACCGCCATTTGTTGGCTTATTTCTCAGGATGATATCCTAACGAAAGTCCATCTGCCATCCAATCAGCACTCCCCCCTCATGCAGTACAAATAATTTTTCCCCTTGAATCCGTACTTTGCTAATTGGTTAATTCAAACATTGCCATTTACACCAAAAAGTTGGTGAATTCTTGCTTTGCTCTGAAACAGTTTAAGGATTTGATTCATTGCAATTTGCACTTGGAGAAGATAGGGGACCCTGTGGCACCACCTACCTGCTCATACACAAACTTAGAAAATCTCAAACTGAACAATCATTCTAGTCCCATTAAAATAACTTTATGATAATACTGCATTTCAAACAATGGCACTTAGTCTTCCCCACATTCAAATGTAGGATTATTAAAAAAGTAGAAACACTAATTTCAACTGTTTAATATTATATGCTACATCTTGTTGCAGGATTATCAAAGTCAAATTGCTTGTAATAAGGCAACAAAAAAAAAAATGTTTGCATGGAACTGATGTAATTCTGATGTAATCTCTCCTATTTTTAACAAACATGAACTGTAAATGCATGTACACATGATGTAAATCACACTTTACAATATGTACTTGGTTGTATTGGATTTACATTTAATGCCATGGAGAACTCATAGCACTACACCGAAAACCCAGCGTTAAGTGCCTTAATCAGTTCTAAGCTCAATGAGCAGTGTATGTACATCCTATATTTTCTACAAGATGCATCATGTATAGGAAATGAAAACTGTTATAATCTTCACAATTTACTTACAACACAGAAAATAAGAGCAGGGTAGACCATTCAGCCCTTCGAGCCTGCTCTGTCATTCAATATGATCCTGGCTGATCATTCAACTCAGTGCCCTGTTCCTGCTTTCTCCCCATTCCCTTTGATCCCTTTAGCCCCAAGACCTATATCTAACTGCTTCATGAAGGCATTCAATGTTTTGGGTTTAACTTCTTTCTCTAGCGAAGAATTCCAAGGGCTCACCACCCTCCGGGTGAAGGAATTTCTCCTCACCTTGTGCTGTTCTGATCTATTTCAACCCACCCCTTTATATTGTTGCATATTGTCACAGGCAAACAACATCTTACCCCAGCTTGTCAACCAAGTCCCACAGCACATTTGGAGAAGGAACAAGTGGAGAGCCATCATACAGGACGATGGAGGCTCCTGTAGCAAGAGCTGATACAAGCCAGTTCCACATCATCCAGCCAGTCTAGAAAAGAGAGAGATTGAAGAAAAAGCAGCTTCATTCAAACATCAGATGACATTACTTAAAAGGTGCAACTGGAATCATTATGTGAGGATTCCCAAATCTGGGGCACTGGTTTCTTGGAGCAGTGGAATATCAGACAAAATTGCAGAGGAACAGGTCACAAAGACCTGTTTGCATTTACCTTGCAACTTGCATTTAAATGATAAGAAAGCATATTAAATAGCCTATCCTAGCCTTCATTGCAGTGGAGGCAAGAAAAAGGAATTAAGATTGCAAAAAAAAAAAAAAAAATTGAGAATTCATGAAGCAACTACATTGTCAAGTATATCATGGGAATGACCGCCATTCATAAACAGAAAAGTAAAGAACGGTTTACCACAACATCAAGCAACTGGGGTGGGGTTCAAGTAAACCTGTGATGAAGTAAATTATAAAGGTTCACCATCCTGTCATGTTGTGTGTTGAACTTTGTGCAAGAATAAAGTCCAATACCAACGATAACAGGCTTTTGAGCTGCGGCAGTTTGGATGCTCCAACAAGACTGGACTAACCTGTGGCCAATCCTTTGTGTTTACGTGACTGAGTCACATACACAGTCAACTGCTGCTCCATTGGGTATGTCAGCTTGTTACATCCATGTGTGAATAGTTCAACAGAACAACATCCTCAGATCACTCCATGCTCTCATCTCCATAGGAATTCATGAATTCAATGGTGAACATAGCCATAGAAGTGGCATGTTCTCCTCTGCACTTCAAAACATTTCCAGCTCCCATCAGGAATGAGCTGAATCGTGTTGAGATAGTGCATTTTCCTCCAGGCAATTTGTAACCCATATTTCATGCATGATGAACAGTACTCATGGTGGGACGCTGGGAGGCAAGACCTCAGGAGCAAGTGAAAGTAAGAAAAAGAAATACAGTGGGGCTGGCAAGGAAGAGAGACAGAAAAGTGATATAATACAGCAAGGAGAAATGGAGACCAAGAAAGGGGGCACCATTCTCCTTCTGCAGCAAGACATCTGATTTTCAGGGCAGAAACTGAAGTGATCAACTCCTCGCGGACCATCAATTCACACAAGTTCCAGTCTCCACAAGAACTGGACAGGCCAATACCAGAGCTGTCAAGACTCTGCACAAGCCTTGCACCAAATCAGGGTGGGGGAATCAGTGTAAATCAAAAATGGGTGGAGAAAGGAAAAGGAGGATTTTTAAAATCAGGGACAAACATTGCATTGTTTTAAAATAAAACTAATGAAATCAAGTAGACAAAAGTGTACAAAAAGTAACATGGGTGCAAGCAGTAAACACCAATACACGACCTCAGATTTACAAGTGATTTTTTTCTAATTCATTCTCTGGTTAGTTTCCTTGCCGAGCTGGTTCATTAGTTCGCAGACGTTTCATTACCCTGCTGGGTAACATCATCAGTGCAGTCTCCAAAAGAAGCGCTGTTGTGTTTTCCCACCTGATATTTAAACTCTGGGGTCCATTGGATTTGATTACCACATTTACGGTTTTTCTTCGCAGTGGCGTATATATGGGGTCTTATTCTACATGTTTGTTGATGGCCTTCTTGGTGGAGAACCAGGTCTCTAGAAATTCCCGTGCTCGTCTCTGTTTGGCCTAGCCTAGGATCCTGATGTTGTCCCAATCGAACTGGTGATTCTCCTTATCCGTCTGAATGGAGACGAGTGAGTATTGATCGCGTCTTTTTATTGCTAGTTAGTGTTCAAGTGTTCTCATGGCCAACTTCCTTCCTGTCTGTCCAATGCAACGTTTGTTGCAGTCCTTGCATGGAATCTTGTAGATTACGCTGGTTCTGTCCATAGTGGGTAAGGGGTCTTTTGTTCCTGTTAGCAGTTGGTATGGGGTTGATGTAGGTTTGTGTGCCACTCTGATGCCCAATGGTCGTAGGACTCTTGTGGTCAGTTCGGATATGTTCCTGATGTACAGTAATGTGACAAGTGTGTCAGGGCGTACTGTACCTTCCTGTTGTTGATTGTGTGACAGTGTTTTTACACAACTCAATTTGTGGGGGTTGGGGTCGTTACTGTTGAAATTTAGGACTTCATCCGTGTGGGGCCTTTCTGTATACTTTGGTCAGAAATTCCCTGTTGGCCTGGACGTGACGGTAGAACACTGTTCAAATGAGCCACAACACACTGCAGCATCGTGGAATTACACCAAAAAGAAGAATACCTCCACCAAGTATTTAGAGACAACAGATACCCGAACAGCTGGGTCCAATGATGCCTATTACACAATCAACAACAGGAAGGTACAGTACGCCCTGACACACTTGTCACATTACTGTACATCAGGAACATATCCGAACTGACCACAAGAGTCCTACGACCATTGGGCATCAGAGTGGCACACAAACCTACATCAACCCCCTAACAGGAACAAAAGACCCCTTACCCACTATGGACAGAACCAACGTAACCTACAAGATCCTATGCAAGGACTGCGACAAACATTACATTGGACAGACAGGAAGGAAATTGGCCACGAGAACACTTGAACACTAACTAGCAACAAAATGACACAACCAATACTCATTCATCTCCATTCACACGGATAAGGAGAACCACCAGTTCGACTGGGGTATTGTCAGGGTCCTAGGACAGGCCAAACAGAGACGAGCACGGGAATTTCTAGAGGCCTGGTTCTCCACCAAGAAGACCATCAATAAACACGTAGAATTAGGCCCTATATACACCACTGCAAAGGAAAACCGGAAATGAGGTAATCAACTCCAACAGACCCCACAGTTTAAATACCAGACGGGAAAATACAACAATGCTTCATCGGAGGCTGCACTGATGTCGTCACCCAGCAGGGTAATGAAACGTTTGTGAACTAACAATCCAGCTCGGTGAGCGAACCAACCACAGCATCCACAACCTGAGCTACAAATCTACTCAAGAACCTCAGACTTCTAATTCATTCATGGGAGGTGGGCATCGCTGGCTAGGCCAGCATTTATTGCCCATCCCTAATTGCCCAGAGGCCAGTTAAGAGTCAACTTCATTGCTTTGTGCTTTGAGCCACATTGAGGCCAGACCAGGTAAGGATGACAGATTTCCCCCTCAGACAGTGAATTTAGTGAACGAGATGGGATTTTCCTGACAATGGTTTCATGATGATCATTAGACTCTTATTTCCAGATTATTACTGCATTAAAATTTCACCATCTGGTGTGCCAGGATTCAAACCTAGGGCCCCAAAACATGAGTGGGGTCTCTTAATTAACAGTGCAGCAATAATACCACTAGGCCATCACCTACCATTGAATGCAAGAGCAGGAGCAAGAGTGAAGTCTGAAAATGGACAGCGCTGCTGTGTATACAGGTGACACCAGGGGAAATCACTGACAATAACATGGAGGGAGCAGGAAACATAATGATCCAACGATAGCTCCACTACACTGCCCTTTTAATTTCATTGGCAACTGAACCCTCCCCACACCCAATGAAATGAAAACAAATTCAAGTATAATTGTTTGTATTTTTACAGAAAAGGCCCTAGCTGCCCTTGGTTATGCAAATGAAATGACAAGCTTTGACAAGTGCAGGGATTTATTTGTGCTGCAACAACCGGGAAGGTGGTGCAGCTTCCCATTCTGTACATTATTTATGCACACAATAATCTGCACTTACTGTAGAGTAGTAGATAATGACATCATTGCTGCTCATGTTGCCATGGAGAATGTGCTCCTTTAGATGTTGGATGAGCGTGCCCTGCAAAGAGATAATACTTCATGAGACATCAATAACTAGAACTTGTGGCTATAATATCATGTCCTCGCAGCATTCACTTGCTGGTACGCTCCAGTTAAGTGTTAAGCCATCTCATATTTAAAATTATTCATGCCCTTATACAATAGCCCAAACAAGAGAAATGACACAGCACTGTATGGAGGGGGGAGTCTCACATCATTCCTGTTGACACCATATGTTAGTGCACTGCTGCGCTAAACAGACATCAGCAGGGCCCAGCAGTCCTTTAGACACTCAATGGATTACACGTACATTTAAAGCAGTTAAACAATGTCATGCTGCCTGGTACACTGCTTAAACTATTAAAATGCAAATGCTGGACAACAGCGTCTCAGCCACAAGGTGGTCACCCAGTGCTAAAGTGAGCAAAGGTCACTCCTCCCTCACGCACCACCCCACTTGCAGATGAGCTATGGGTTTTTGCACTTGTCTCCCTGCACCCATACATCCCCCACCCCCAACCCTTTACATGTCCCCATCGAATAGGCAAAGCCCACTGTCCCCACACATGGGACAGCATCACACCCACCCTTATAACCAGATGAGTGAGGTCTCATCTCCCTCCCACAATGGCTAACAAGGACCAATAAGTAGTTGGGAGTCTCAATTCTGTGCAGCATTTGAAGCATTCTACCAGAAAGGAAGCTAACTACAAAAGAAGTTCAACCTCAACTTGCTCAGAAGTTAAAATAGTGTAAATGACAAATTGCCTCAACTAAGTGAAAAGTGGGGATGCAGATTTTCCACACAGACAGCCAAATTTGTTGTCATGTTACATCTTTATGAAGGGCAATTACCTACAACTGCAACTAATGAAGCTGGAGTAAATGTGTGCAGCATGCATAGGTGCCTGCCCTTCATTAACTAATGGGAAAGAGAGGGCAGGAGTTCCACAAAGATTGGGAAAGCTTCAATTGTCACCAGCCTCTCATCAGCTATAAAATGCGCTGGCTGTCTCAATGGTTTGAGGAATATGGGCAAGGGACAATTATTGCTCGTCTCTTGTCATTCTGAAGTGATGATTCACCAGTTCCCATGCATCAGCTGTTCTGTCACACTGAAGTCACATGTAGGCTAGAACAGATAAAAGATAGCAGGCTAGACATTCTCCTGCAATGCCATTAACGGCCCACAAATGGTTGAATTCCACATCTCATATTGTAACAGGTACCTTGAACTTAATGTCTAGGTTGCTAGTCCATTACAATGAAATTTACAACTACATTTTTACCATTGCATAAATCATCTGAAATTAATAATTATTTTTGGGAAGCAAAATCTCCCAAACAATTTGTAATATTGTAGATTATATTAAAAAAAAATCACAAAAGAATCAATTGAAACTTGCAATTACCACTTATAAAAGGCCAACACTCCAACACATAATTCTAAGAAAGTTTGTTTCTAATTAAACTCAGCATTAGAGCGAACCAAATTAAATGATGGGATTTTTCTCTATGAAATACAAGTAATAAAATTGTAACTGCTTTCTTTATTCATGTTTGTACATGGCACAGAAGCCACTGTTTTCTATCATACTCACCTTTGATTTAGCATGGTATGATGGTGCAACGTGACTGCCCCCTAGTGGTACACACCTCCCTAAAAAGCACAGCATCCTTTAAAACTCCCTACAGTCTGTATGGGAAGTGCAGGGATTGATAATAATGATTAACAGCTCAACATTCAGTCAGGTTGCAGCTAATGACCAATTCTCAAATTGACCTAGTCTCTTGCCTAAATGTAATCAATGAATCAACTGGCTGGTAACAACAACAGCAGTACTGCGCTAATGCAGACCAAACAGAAGAATGATCATAAACTGCCTTTCAGCCAACCTCGAATTTATGGATGATGCAGTATTTCAACAAAAGCACATCGCTGAAATCGAATCAGTCCTTCAATAACTTAAAATTTTTTAAATAACTGACTCCCAGCATCTCAAGCTTTTTAAGTGTTTAAACTCTCAAAACTGCAAACTGCATTAAACCACACATTCTGTCTTCCAGTTTTTAAGCCGCCGTCTTCACAGGCTTTACCCTAATACTGATTAAATGACATGAGCTTGTGTAGTGTAGCTATGCTTACAGAATATTAGATTTTGCATGGAATGTCATTTATATCAAAAAATGATCAGCATGAGCGCTGTACGAGGTCCTCATGGCTTTATACACCAAGGGACAGAGGAAAATTATGAGCTTTAGGGGCATGCAAATGAATTATGACATAATTAGCACAAAGTGATCTGGAAATAGTTTTTTTTGGGAAACATTTTGTAATAGTACAAAATGCAACTTGGTTGTAATATTCTGAAGCAGATTTACTTGCACTCTGAAAAGATAGATACTTGTCATCTGATGGCTATGCAAGATTTGAGTTAAATGGAAGGCATTGTATAAAGGAAAAGGGAAAACCAACTTTTTTTTTTTTAAAATGTACTTCCCAGACTTAACAATGAACATCTAACGAACCGCAATAAAAGGAAATTAAGTAGGGAATAGCTACAAATGTCCCTTAACTTTACAAATCGATCTGAATAATCCATTTTACTTTTTCGTGAATGGGAGAGGCTGACAGAATAAAGGGCAGATATTTAAACAGTTCATGAGCAACTACTGTTACTCATCATTGTAAATATTCAAAATAAATCCATGTATTATCATTTAAGTTAAGTTATGGTTATCCACAAAACAGCAAATATCCCCTATTCTTTTGTTGGATTTATTTTTAAATTTTTGCTCATGGGATGTGGGCATCGCAGGACTAGCATTTATAGAATCCCTACAGTGTGGAAACAGGCCCTTCGACCCAACAAGTCCACACTGACCCTCAGAGCATCTGACCCAGACCCATCCCCCTATAACCCACCTAATCTACACATCCCTGAGCACTATGGGCATATTAGCATTGGCAATCCACCTAGCCTGCACATCTTTGGACTGTGGGAGGATACCAGAGCAAACCCATGCAGACACGGGGAGAATGTGCAAACTCCACACAGACAGTCGCCCAAGGGTGGAATCGAACCCAGGTTCCTGGCACTGTGAGGCAGCACTTATTGTCCATTCCTAATTTTCTTGGAGAAGCTACTTGCTTGGACTTTCCATTGCGGGTATGTACACCCACAGAGCGAGGAGAAAATGAATTTCAGGATTTTGACCAACAACAATGAAGGAAAAGGCTGATGTGTGGGGCTTGGAGGGGAACTTGTAGGCTGTGGGATTTCGGTGCCTCTCCTGTCCTGTACATGTACGTAGTAGAGATAGTGGGTTGCCACAGTGCCTCTTATCAACAGTACAAATTGTGTGTGTTGTGGTGGAGCCATCAAATGTAAAAAGGTGGTGGATTTTGACAAACTGCAGACATCACTCACCACTAGTGCCACCCACACTCCCATTCTGCCACCTGAATAATGGTGCAGGATTTCCCATATAGTTGTCAAGCCTGAGGTCGCAGGGCTTCATAGGGTCAATAGTCTCCATTCAAGTCAAGTCATCATAGTCTTATCAGACCACAAGGCTGCTCTCTCACTAAAAGATGAGAATCTTGTCATTTGAGGGAGAGAGAGATATGACTGGTGGTGGTTTAACCTGAAGGCTACCATACCTCAGGTAAGAGGAGAGGTTGAGGAGAGTCCTCCATGATAACCTCAGCTGGTGACAGAAATTGAACCCACACTGTTGGCATCACATTGCTTCGCGAACCAACCATCCAGCCAACTGAGCTAAACCAACTCCCAGTGTTTCCAATGGACAGGCAGCCAATCACACAGAGAACTGGAAGCAAGAGCATGTGGGAACAGTGCATCAGTCAAAAGAGATCTATTCCAATAAGGCCACTTTAAGACCAGGGCTGCATGCAAATAAATCTTTCTAAGTTTAGAGAGGTTAGGGATAAGAAAGGTTCCAGTTTTTACCAGTTTGAAAGTGCTGTGCATTTATTATATGATTTTCTCTTGTGAGCAGCATAGGTATGATTATGTGGAAGTCTCATGGACTGTGTCCACCACTAGTGTTCACAGTGTACAATATCAGGTTCCAAGGGCATGGATGCTGGATCTGCTTTCTCGCACCAGGAAACCCTGGCACAGCCCTAGAGGTGGTGTAAGGGCAGCATAAACATAAGAATACTGGACCAACTCAGCAGTCTGCTAACAACTTCTGTTTTTATTTCCGATTTGTACCATTTTGCTTTTGAGGATGCAACACTGCCCCAGCCAGTTTGAATCTACCTTAAATGTGAATTTTCAAGACCAGTTGGTGAGCTTTTCCAATTCAAAAGTTTCTAAATTCAAATTAATAAGTAACTCAAATTGGGATTGTACTGAAAAAAAGACTCTTGAATAACAAGTATTTTTCTTCAAAAGAGAAAATGACTTTGAAATAGGAAAAAAAACCTGTCAAGGGTCTACTAAAGAATTATTTACACTAAGGTTCAAAACACATACAAGCTCCTTTATCAGTTAATGGCTTGGTTTCCTAATGTCAGAATCTTTACAGGCATAGGAATGGAGATGTTCCCTATGCTTCGCTGAGTGTTGAATACTCTCAGCTATCTACTTACTTTGACTGTGGGAGATACCAGGAGGTTCTACTCTAACGATTCTACATTCGTCATGATTAAATCTAGCATTCCCACTGTTTTGATGTTACTGTAAGAAGAGAGCATGCTAATTAGCAAGTGACTAGAATTTAGAACACGGAACTAGCAGCCACTATCAGGCCAGGGTGTAGCAACACGTATGTGTAAGAGAGTGCACAGCTATATTATTCTGGAACAAGAAGTACCAAACCTCTGTAACAAATCTGTCCAATGAGCAAATCTATATTAGATCTTCAAAAGAATAGAACCTACATCGGTTTATCAGTCCAGAAGAAATATTGCTACTATTACCATCTGGAAAGCACAAGAATACAACAGCCTCAACACTCATCAATATATACCTGTAATATAGAATTAAGGAGGTCTTTAACTAAAACCTGTCCACTCTTCATTATCCAAAGATGTTCATGAATTTATAAGTGTAAACGTACTATAACTTAAGCAAGATAGCAACATTTTCAGAACCATGATTCCACACTGTAAAATGAAAAATGTATGTTTTATTAAGATCTGCACCAGTGAAACACAAGGATAACCAAAATAAAAGTTACTAAATATTTGGTATGATGCACAATTATTTTCAGTGTACAGCTCAAAAGATTGAATCTGACGTCACAAAACTATGGCGATTTTTGAAGCATTAAACCACTGATATGAAAAAAAAAGTGCGCGTCTCGGAGTCCACATTAAAAACCTTTGTGAATTAGGCTGTTGAATTAACCTCTTAAAAATGGATAGGTTGCATCCTAATTATCAAAATCTTAACCTCCTGAAATCTATTCTTTTCAGTATCTTAAATATTTTGCATTCCAAATGAAAGCATTTAAAGATCTCGTCAAAACACAGTAATTAAAATTAAATACTAATTGAAACATCTTTGCACTTGGAAAGAAATCATTGCAGGAAAAGGGCAGTTTCATTAAAAGAAGCATTTTCTAATTGCTTTCCAAAGTAATTACAGTTTTATTTTTGCCTTGTAATTACGTCCATGCATGTTTGCAATAGTGTTAGAAAGTAAATCAGTCTAGAAATTTTAAAATGAACAAGCTTACATTGGTTTAAACCAGTGAAGTTATTAGTGAACAGCAGGCACCCTACGGCATTCTTCACAGGCAGCCTCAGTGCTCGAATGCAACTGAGATGGTAAACTGTTCAAGACAGGTTAATAAGGGTCACCACTGCACAAATGCTGGAAATCTGAGATAAAAACAGAAAATGCTGGAAACACTCAGGCCTGCTGCACGGTGGCTCAGTGGTTAGCACTGCAGCCTCTCAGCGCCAGGAACCTGGGTTTGATACCACACTCAGGTGACTGTGTGTGCAATTTGCACACATTGTCCCTGTGTCTGTGCGGGTTTCCCCCAGCAGTCCAAAGATGTGCAAGTTAGGTGGATTGGCCATGCTAAATTGCCCATAGTGTTCAGGGATGTGCAGATTAGGTGGGTTAGCTATGGGAAATGCAGGGTTACAGGGATAGGGTAAAGCAGGGGCAGGTGAATCTGGGTGGGATGCTCTTCAGAAGGTCGGTGTGGACTCGATAGGCCAAGTGGCCTGCTTCCACAGCATAGGGATTCTATGTGGAGGGAGAAATAAAATGAATCAGAGATCTGAAACAAGAACCCCATTTCCCCTTCGTCTGAAGCCACCCAACCTGCTGAGCATTTCCTGCACGTTCTTGTTTCGAATACTCTCTAAACAGGCCACCCTGGTAGGTATTTATAAAGTAATGAGGTCAGTCAAAGAGAAGTAAAAGGACAGGTAGAGGATGGAGCAGAATAAAGAAAAAAAAAGGGAAATAATCTGGAAGCTGACCAAATTCAAATTCATCAAAGCTGCCACCGGTCCTACAGAGAGGAAGCTGTACCCTTACAACCACAGTGATTCTCAGCAATGAAATCCCATTCAAAGGCTGCAGAGGTGATGACATTGACATCTTTTTAAAGGGGAACACAGCACTGTTCATTTTTCTTCTAGGATACAGAAAGTCAATGTATTTAGTGGCTAACATGAAAGACAGAAACTCCAGCATTTTCATGCTGCAACAAAATGTAATATTATACTGGAAATCAGAACATATATCAAGGAAGAGATAAAACGTTCTCGCAAAATCACATTAAACAGGGAAATGTAAAATGAGGACCGTCTGTACAGTGTCTAATTGAGGAACTCGGTATTGGGAAATGGGGGTGCTCACTGACCGCCACCAGCTGCCCGTTCCACTATTCCAACCCCACCCTTGCTTCTTTCTGTTTTTTGTTTCAGCTTTTCAGTAGCCTTGGTTCTTTGCTTTTATTATTACAAATAAGTTGCATTTGCTTCTAGGAATACGAAGGGATTTCTTGCCTTTTGATCAACAACAAATTTGCAGTCAATGAACAATCACGTCACACAACTTGCACCCTATTGGTACCATATGCCCAGTTGGGTTCTGCCTTAAGGTGTTGTGCCTGACGCTGCACCACTTGATCACGATGAAGGTGACAATCCCCTTGCTCAATGTCCGAAGAAGACGAAGAAGACTGCTGCCATTCCCCTAGCTCTTCAGCATCCATCCCATCCCCTCTTTGCCTTATCCAGATATGTGGAGCACAGCATGCAAGAATTATGCAGAATACTCTGTCTGGAATATACAGCAAGGCCCCAGCAGACTGACCCAGGCACCAGAACCTCAACTTCACGAGGCCTGTTGCCTGATTCATGATGGCCCTGGTGGAAAAATTAACTATACTGCGCTCACACTCAACTTCAGTCAGGGGGCTGCATAATAGAATCATCAGCCATAGTTGCAGAGGATAGCCCTGGTGGCTAACAAGCTCAATCTCCCAGGAGCCCACATGCAAATACAGAGTTGTAGGCTCCCACCTGGTGACTGGCCTGCCTGTGAATGAGGCTCTTAAGTGGGCATTAATTACCCCACTTCACAACCTCAGATGGTTGAGGAATGGGAAGGACATCCAGGATCCCTCCACCCCGGACGTAAGCAGGTCAGAGTCACCAACAAACTCCCACCCCCGACCCCCTGATTAAACATCCCCACACAGCCTCCAAATCCACCAGAGGGGAGGATTCTACCTTTCACTCCTAGGGTGGGAAAGGACAAAAACCATTTTTATTTTAAAAGAAAGCAAAATACAAATCTCTTTCATCCTTCTACTGAATGCAACTTTAAAATACAACATGTAAAAATACATATGATCACAGCCAAATTAAAAAATGAACAAGACTTTATCCTTTTTGATTGAGATTACCTACCCCAGCTGAATGTACCATGCATTTCGGTGCCCCTGTTGTGCCTGAAGAATACATGATAAAGAGTGGATGGTTGAATGGCAGCTGCTCAAACTCCAGCTGTGGACCATGGTCTCCTTCCTTACCAGTGGAAAGGAAATCATTCAGAAACACGCTACAAGAAAAAAAAACACCAAATTATTTGGTTATTAAACTAATGCATTAGCAGTAATCAAGAAGAGAAAGCCTAGCAGAACTGCTCTCAGAAATAATACTCAGTCCCTCTGCAAAAGAAAATTTGTGTAAAACTAAGCAGTGGTGTCGAGAGAAATAAATTTCCACCCTGTGGAGATATGGCTCTCATTTCCAGCATGTTTTTCTACTGAATTCATTACTGGGAAAGGGCTGCCTATATCCCAGAAAACATTCTCTTGTTCTGGAAGATAGATCATCAGCCCAGCCTGGAAGCTGATCTACAGCTATTGCATCTAACGGTCAATACACCAGCTAGATATACTCTACATTTTCAACTGGTCCATGGGGTTGGTCTGGCAAGGAGACATGCTGTTCCCATAATTGATCCAGTCATCTAAGAGAGCTCCCAAAATAACAAATCTCTGTTCAAAGAGTATTTCTACATCTCCTGTTGCCTTCTCACAGAATCGCAGAATTGTTATGGTGCAGAAGAGACGGTTCTGCCCATCATGCCCGTAAAGGTTCTATTACCTATTGCCAATCTCCTGCTTTTTCCCCCATACTTTTGCACATCATTTCTATCCAAATATTCATACAATTCCCCTCTAAATTACCTCCACTGAACCTTCCTCCACCACATTTCCAGCTGGTGAAACCCATACCCGAACTACACGCTGTGAAAAAAAAGGTTTTTCATACATCACCCTTGCTACATGTGCACATCACTATAAATCATAGAATCATAGGAATAGGACTGGGTGCCCCTCGAGCCTATTCTGCCATTCAATGAGATCATAGCAGATCTATGGCCCAACTCCATTATGGCCATTGGCCCATATCCCTTATTAACTTAGCTTAACAAATATTTAACATATCAATCTATGCTCTCTCTTTTACAAAAATGGTTGCAGAACAATTTTTACATTTTTTTTAAAGAAAAGATAGGTACCGGTAGAGTACATTAAACAAAAGAAACTCTCCTCGTCATCTTTCTAAGCAAATACATCATTCTCATGTCTTTCGGATTTGTTATACACCAGCTACATGAAGGGGTAATTTTAGTCATAGCAGAATTTTGGCTCAAGAATGAGCAGGAGTACAAAGTGAAAAGAAATCAAAATTCACAGGGCACTCTGCTGAAATATTGAATTTCGCCAGATTACTGCACGAAACCCATTTCACAGCACGTGTTTTTGGTCTTTCAGTTTCAAATAATATTTGAATTAAATTGCTGAGTGTGCAGAAAGTCAGGAGGAGAAAATACATTCACATATATTGCTGCTCCATAATATGGAAGATCACAAGTTAATAACAAATTTTAAAAATGATTAATCCAACAATTAGAAAGCAGGAGCTTATTTTAGTAAGGAGGGAAGAAATCAGAAGCCAACATCTCCAGCAGGTGGCAGAAATCTGACAGCTTGCTGGTAATGGCCATTCAACAGGCTGCTACTACTAGGACTGCTGTTGGAAGACAAGAAAAAATACCAGCTATCAGAGCTGCCAACCCAGAGGACTAGCAGTGCCCCATCACAAGTGGCCACTGCTTGCTGACACTGCAAGATGATGTCATGCCATCTCCATGTTGAGGTAACTTCAAAGACAAGTCAGGTTTAAAGGAGCCAAAGCCCAGGCAAGCAGGTATGTCGGTGATAGGGGGAGGCAAGGGCTCAAGACAGCTGCAGGGATGGTTATTGTTTTCAGGAAGAAGGTCCCTGCAGCAACTATGAAGGAGTGCCTAACCATTCAATAGGAATCCACTTGGAGGTCTCTGGGGTTGACTAGGTGGCAACCGCACATGATGGCAGATCCTGCCCACAGACAAAATGGCAGAGTGCGCAGAAGTGGCCCTTATGTTCAAATGGTTACCAAATGGGCCAATACTGGCCGCCAATTTACCAGCTGTCCTGTCTTCCAGCCCTTTGACATGAATCGTAAAATATAGCCTCAGATCTAGTTTTAGAATGGCATTTAGTTCTTTAGCAACATTTTATATACAGTTGATATTTGATATTTTCTAATGAGATTCTGCCAAGATTAATCACCCAAATGATAAAAATGTTAGTGCTGTTTTGTATTTCTTCAAATTTTAAACTATTAGATTAATTATTAACTACAACTTTTCATGATGAAAAGTCAGTATTTACATCTTGAAAATAAAATACTACCTTCATGTTAGTGTACAAATCATTTCATTCCGTTAATAATAAACACGAAACTGCAGCAAGTCTTTGTTCTGTGCATTGAAATAAGGGAAAACCACTGACAGGGTATAAAACCCTGCAGTAGAAATACTGAAGACAACTAATACGTAAATTGAGGTATCACAATGTACCACATCTGGCTTAACTATGTCAATGGAAATTGTTGGAAGAGTAAATGTCCAAAGCAATTTCCCCAGATGTTATATTGCTGTTTGTTTGCAAAGCTTGAACATCATTTGAACAAACAATGAAATGAGTTGTGCAAGGGCTGTAAAAATATCACCTTGGCATCCCACCTTCTAAAATGGGGAGGGGTTTGAGAGCAGAGGAGTGGAAGGCCGGACAGAAAACAATACCTTTCTTTAAAAAGGAAAAATCTCCAGGGAAAAGCTGAATGAAAGATAAAAATAAAAGAAAATCTACATTTCGGGAGTGCTTTTTGAGTAAAGAGTGATGGTCAGGACACAGAACTAATTCTCATTCTATCTCAGACTGTGCCATGTGATTCTTTACATATGTCTGGCTGAAGGATGATTCACTTTAGCCCAATCAGAAAGACAACACCTTGAATAATGCAGCACTTGCTCAAGGGTTGTGTTCAAGATCTCTAAGAGAACTGGAACCCGCAATGTTTTTAACATAAAGACAAGAAAAGGCATCACACCTATTTTCAGATATCACCACTGCCAGCAAATCATATCTGCTGGTTTCTAACCACTAGTGACTCATGGTTGGGGTACTCTGTTGCCACCAATCCTCCTCTAGCACTGCAGCTATCAGATTTTTGTTTTAAGATCAAAATCCTTCATAGACGTTTTTAATCAACCAGTTCAGTTCTTTTAATGACACACCTCTGGAGTGGATAGGACTTGAATCAAGGTTTTCTGGCCCAGGGCCCTTAACTCAGGAATCAGTTCTTGACTATTCCACCAGCAACTCACAAATGTTTCTGCCTGGTTACAAACCTTTGCGTGTAAAGCATTGTGATAAACACTACACCTCAGAAATGGAACAATCCACCTCTCTACGTTGAGTCTAACAACCTGTCTAATTATCACTGTTGAGGATAAAGCAGGACAGAGTCTTAACAAGCAGAGGAATTTATCTTACATAACAAGGCATACTTCATTGCATGAAAGCAATAGATGAAACCAAGTTTGACTTCACAAGTTCAGGTGGTCTGGAGATTTCACAATTGTTCCAGAACGCACTCTCTTTAAAGTTGGAAGGTTGCCAAGTCCTTTGCTTGAGGACTTTTGACCTTGGTTCCCAGCTTACCTGAGGTTGGTCTCTGAACCATTACCCACCTCGAAAACCTCATTCGGTTTATCCCAGTCAAGCTTCAAAGAACAACTATTTTGCAATGTGACAACGTTTCTGCAGTTCCTCCTTACAACCCACTCAGCCAATGAGCCGTCTGCTATTGGGTGACTGCACCATTTCTCTTTTGGTCCCTTATCCATACCCACTGCCATGGGCCCAAATTGACAGCCATCATGCACAGTTACATTTATTGTATTGAGTAGTCTGCTGCCCAATGTTCTTGTCTAAAAACAAGAATATATACGTAATCTCATGGAATCAATTGTGGAGACAACTGCTTCAGTAGGATAGGGAGTTAAGTCTTCAGTTATCACCTCATCAGCAATTCTGATGGTGATAAGCCACACTGGAGTGGGTTGGAGCAGTAATTCAACAAGGCTATGTAAAAAGTCAACACTGGACACCACACACAGCTTCCCCACTTTGCTGTGGGCATCTGAGCAAGCTTGTTACATGTTCGAATCTGAAAGTGGCCAAAAACTGGCTGAAAGATTCATCAAACTGTGGCCCGTTATCTGACACAACCATATCTGGGATGTAATGAATGTTTCCTGTAAGGCATCACAACTGCTTCTGTGATGACAATAACTTTGTACCTCTATCCACTATGAAAAATAGTCAATACCAATAAGGCAACAGCATCCATCAATCAAACTATTTTAAAATTCCTTTGTCTTAATGTTGGTTTCACAACTCAAACACAAAATACATCTTGCATAATTTTTTAAATCAAGTTCATTGGCTGTTGCCTTAATGAATGTTTCCATCACACTTTTAGTTTAAATCCCAAGTGTTCTGATCTTCTAAAAAAGTCTTAAAAGTCTTCAGATTTCCTTCTTCTGCTAGACTCTTTCATCTGCTCTTTGAATATTTTCCTACTTCTTTTATTCAGTTCTGGAATGTGGGAGTCACTGGATGGCCAGCATTTATTGTCCATGACAATAAGGTGCAGAGCTGGATGAACACAGCAGGCCAAGCAGCATCATAGGAGCAGAAAGGCTGATGTTTTGGGCCTAGACCCTTCATCAGAAATGGTTATGCCTAGGTGCCCTTGACCAGGTGCCTTATTGTACCAGTGCAGTCCATTTGTTTAGGTATACCCAAAATGCTGTTTGGGGGGAGTGCCAGGATTTTCACCCAGTGACAGTGAAGGAACGGTGAGATATTTCCAGGTTTTTTGAGAAGATTTGTAGCTCAGGTTGTGGATGAGGTTGTAGACTTGCTCGCCGAGCCGGTGTGTTTGATTACAGACGTTTCATCGCCCTGCTAGGTAACATCGTCAGTGTGCCTCCGGTGAAGCGTTGGTGTTCTGTCCCGATTGTTATCTATATGCCTCGGTTTGCTGGGGTGGCTGGCATCACTTCTGATTCTGTTTTTTCAGTGGTTTGTATACTGGGTCCTGTTCAATGTGTTTGTTGATGGAGTTCTGGTTGGAACACCAGGCCTCCAGGAACAAGAACTCCATCAACAAAACATTGAGCTGGACCCAATATACAAACCACTGAAAAAACAGAACCAGAAGCAATGCCAACCAGCCCAGCAAACCGAAGCATATAAATAACAAGCGGGACAGAACACCAACGCTTCACCGGAGGCGCACTGACGATGTTATCTAGCAGGGTGACGAAACGTCTGCAATCAAACACACCGGCTCAGCGAGCAAGTCTACCAGCTATTTCTAAGTCAGGATGGTGAATGGTTTGAAGTGGAACCTGCAGTTGGTGATGTTCCCATGTATCTGCTGCCCTTGTCCTCACAGATAGTAGTGGTTATGGCTGTATAAGAACCTGTCCGAGCAGCTTGCTGAATTTCTGCAATGTATCTTGTAGATGGCACATACAGCTGCTGCAGCTGGTGGAGGGAACAGATGTGGTGCTAATCAAGTGGCCTGCTTTATAATCACCTTCAGTAATGTCTACAGCCTTTATGCTATTGCAACTGTCATAACAGTTATTTAAGGCCCATACGCTGTCCTTGCTGATGTCTTGTGGAGTCTATTTATGAACAGGGAGATGCTTGCTTTGAGAGATAGAAACCCTTTTATCACTCTTTCTTCCCTTTGCTGGATTTTGCAGCATTTTTATAAAGGCTCATCTCCCATTCCCTCAGGGATCTTTAATTTTACTTCTGGGACCGTCAATCTCTCCCAACTAGCAGTTTTGGAATGAATAAATGAGAACAGCTTCATTCCAATGCAAATCTTCTGACAGACACTCTTTCCGTTCCACTACTGGTGACAAAACCTGAAGCCATTTTGGCTTTGCTCTCTGAAACTATTTAAACTGCTAAGCCCCCAACCTCATCCCTTTTGCTATTGCATGCAAAACTCCCCTCCACATGACCCTCCCTTTCCTCTTTCTTTACATACAAAATTTTCTTCTCAAAGTCTATTGTTTTAACTATACTTTAGTCAATCTGCCACCGTTCAGAGCTAATTTTCTCTGTGACTACTGTGGAAGATTTGATACATTCAAGATGCTACAGAATGGTTAACCATAGCTGTCATAATTCACCAAAATATCTGCTGACATTGCAAAGAGCATTCCATTAAAACATTATTCCCGAATGTTCACCTGTTTGGTATCCTGGAAAGGTCTATGGTCTCTTTTGATCGTACGTATGGAATTACTATAACCTTCTTCAAGTCTGGTAAACCTAAAAAGACAGCAAATAAAGTCATTTCAACCAACCCAAACTTGCATGGTGTTACTGAGACTTACACTAATCAGTAAAGTAATTTCAAGTTGTGGGAATTTTCCTAGACAACATCCCTCCCTCAGAGTGACAATGATACGATCAAGTTAAGAAGGGTGAATCAATTATTTTCCTTGACCACTCCTACACTAGTCACAACAAAGTTTGAATTTAAAAAGGGAGATGCTCTAGCCAATCATATATCTTAGACTATGAGTAGTTCATTATCAGAAAGAAGTCAACCGGTTTCCTCAAGCAACAAATAAAGACCTACGGTATTGCAAACAAAAAAAAAACTTACCCAAACAAAGATGTAAACGTTATTAACAAAAGCTTTAAACTGTGCAGACATATACAACTACTGTTCTTGAAGATTATCACACAGACATACAGACAGATAAGTCTGGGTAAAAGTATAATAACTTCACAGATTGGTATGTTAAAAGTAATTTGACCAATTAACAGTTAAATTCAGAAAAAAGAAAATCACAGATTGTTCAAATGTTGATCTGTAGCCAAAGTCACTTTGTTCATGAGCTGTTAGCACTAGGTTTTCTCCCGATTTCAGGAATGGCTAGCTGAATTCTTTTTAACTGCAGGCAGTGGGGATAGATTCTGGATTCTCCTTGAAGAGCTTACCAGGAGGCGGCAGTGAAAATGTCTCCCTTTTGGGACCCTCCCTTTGCAGCATTGTGGTTTTCCAGTTGGTTATCAACTCTCAGACTTTGACTACAGGATTTTCAGAGACAGAGAAAAGAAAGAGAGAGAGAGAGCAAGGACTGTTGCTCCAGGCAAGATCTCTCTTTTGGCATTCAAAGCTCCAATAGTTTTACTGTACTCAAGCTGTGTCCTGTGACCACTCTGTAAATGATTGGCAGACACACTGCCTCCAGTCGAGTAGCTTCTGTTCTCTGCAAATCTAAAAATCTTTCTTGTGCAACCCATGTCCTTTGTTTTGCAAAGTGTTTTTTTTCCAAAGTAGCCAATACATAGCCTAGTCACTAATATTCTAAATTAATGTTTCAGATAACATCTTCATAATCATGATTCTTGTCTATTAAGATTGCTGTAGATTGAGAGAGAATGGACGCAAAAATGAACGCAAATCATTCCATACAACCAGCTCCAGTGCAAGAGTGGTTTTCCTAATCACTAACAACATGTTCTCTACAGTATGAAAGGGATCAGTGATCTTAAAGCAAAAATGCCAATATAGCTCAAAAAAAACTAAAAACAGAATTACATTAAAACAGAAAAAAAAATTTCCACAGAGGCAACTTAATTTGAGGACTTCCTACCAGTAAGTAATGCCTTCCTCCCAAAGAAAATATAATTGTGCATGTATTACAACTTGGGACCACAAGCCATTATCAAGAGCCAAAGTGAACTTCAGATAGGAACATTTAACAATTACATTTAACAATTTTACCTGTCCTTGTTAGCCTTGCCTATAAAAAGCAAGATTATTTAAATGTGGCAAACGACTGTACCATTAATCTCTACTCTCCGTCATCAGCAAACTGATGGAACACATCATCAACAGTGCTTTCAAGCAGCACTTGCCAGCCAATATAAATAGAGTGGCTACATGGAACTAAGAAGCTTGCAGCAAGTAACTCACCTCTAGTCTCCCCAGTGCCTGCCTACCATCCACAAAGCCAAGTGCGTGATGGAATACTCTCTACTTGTCTGGATGGGTGCAACACCAAACACGGTCAAGAAGTCTGGGACCAAAAAGGACAAAGCAGCAGTTCACTGCCACCCTACCCACCACTTTCCATATTCACTCCCTTCACCACTGATACAAAGTGGCAGCAGTGTGTACCCTCCACAGGGTTTTCTACAGTAATCCAGCAAAACTCCTTCAACAACACTTTTAAACCTGTGACCTCTACTGTATATAAGGACAAGGGCAGCAGATGCATGAGAAAATCTACCACTTGCAAATCCCCTCCAAGGCACTTACCGTTGTAACATGAAATTATCACTGTTCCTTCAAAGTCACCGAGTCAAAATCCCTCCCTAACAGCATTGTGGGTATACCCAGACCACATGGACTGTGGTCATTCAAGACAACATTGAGGCACGCATTGAGATATGACTGAACATTTGATCAAAGAGCTTGGCTTTGAAGATTGTCTTAGATGAGGCATAAGTAAGGACATGGAGACAGACGTTTTAAGAGGGATTTCCAGAGGATAGAACCTCGACAGCTGAGGAGGTGACCACCAAAGAAGGAACAATTAAAAATTGGTGATGTGCTACAGTGTGGAACTAATCTAGCGTAGGAATCTGAGGATTGCAGGATTATGGGGTAGAAGCAATTATGGATATAGGTAGAGTCAGGCCATGGAAGCATTTGAAAAGATGAGGATTTTAAAAAACTGAAGCATTGCTGAATTAGAAGCCAATGTTGGTCAGCAAATAGAAGATTAAACAAGGATTTTTCTGATCAATAGGAATCAACCAAGTTACCTTCCATTAAAACTTCCTGGTTTGTGAACTACCTGATCAAACTCAGATATCAAGTTCAAAAATTTAACATAGCTTTATTCTTCAAATTATATGCCCTACCAGTTTTCATTTCTGTTAAAGGAAAATAATTATTGCATGAAAAAGTAAAGTTCTGCAGCAAATGGTTTTTCATATTTTTGATGCCTTGGAAATTGTAAAGCAATGTGACATTGTTAGAAAGCCATTGCAGAATGAAAATTAAAGCAGCTGTCCTAAACATTTAATTAGCCTTATCCTTTCCTGAGGTAATCAGTTTTGTGAAATGGACACAAGACTGATCAGGATAGTCTACTGCAGGCATACATCAATCTCGAAAAATAAATTTCATGACATTTTGGATGCTGCCAATAGTTAAGTATTTTAACTTAATTCCTGTCATCGCTTCCCCAAATTGATTGAGATTTATTTTCTGATGCAGGGGATTGGACACAGAAAGTACCAATAGCATAATACGAGGTTTCTTTCTCAATATAAGAATATGAATGCTTAATTTATTTGCTTGAAATTGTTTTATCTGTTATTAATGGCAGTGCCAACCAACCCATTTATATTAATTTTCAACTTCATTTAAAAAAAGTGGACATGGTAATTTAATAAGGATGCCAATAGTCCAGGACCTAATTTTAAGATATTTCTTAAATGTATTATCCCAACTATTCCTTTAATCAAAGAATAATAGAGAGCTAAAGTGATTTATACCTACAAATTAAGTATCAGATATGAAAGGTTGTTACAAAAATTATGGCAGATCCTTCCAAGTGAAGAAAAAAAGGGTTTTAGCTAAGATTAAAACTGTAGCTTTTCAAACCTGGTATTTAATGCATGATATCACAACTCCCTGACCTTTATAGTCATGGAGAGGGATAGGAGCAGACAGTATGGGAAAGTATTTAATTGGGGGAGGGGGAATTACAATGCTATTAGGCAAGAACTACGGAGCATAAATTGGGAACAGTTGTTCTCAGGGAAATGCACGACAGAAATGTGGAGGTTGTTTAGGGAGCACTTGCTACAAGTACTGGATAGCTTTGTCCCACGGAGGCAAGGAAGGGATGGTAAGGTGAAGGGACCTTGGATGACAAGACATGTGGAACACCTAGTCAAGAGGAAGAAGGAACCTTACTTAAGGTTGAGGAAGCAAAGGTCGGACAGGGCTCTAGAGGGCTACAAGGTAGCCAGGAAGGAACTGAAGAATGGACTTAGGAGAGCTAGAAGCGGGTATGAAAAAGCCTTGGCAGGTAGGATTAAAGGAAAACCCCAAGGCGTTCTATACTTATGTGAGGAACAAAAGGATGGCCAGTTTGACGGTAGGGCCGATCAGGGATAGTGGAGGGAAGTTGTGTGCAGAGTTGGAGGAGCTAGGGGAGGTCCTTAATGAATACTTTGCTTCAGTATTCACCTGTGAGAGAGACCTTGACGTTTGTGAGGACAGCGTGGAAACAGGCTGATATGCTTGAAAAGGTTTATGTTAGGAAGGAGGGTGTGCTAGAAATTTTGAAAAACATGAGGATAGATAATTCCCCGGGCCAGACGGGATATACCCAAGGTTACTACAGGTAGCGAGGGAGGAGATTGCCGCGCCTTTGGTGATGATCTTTGCGTCCTCACTGTCCAATGGAGTAGTACCAGATGATTGGAGGGTGGCAAATGTTATTCCCTTGTTCAAGAAAGGGAATATGGATAATCCTGGGAATTACAGACCAGTCAGTCTTACTTCTGCAGTAGGCAAATTATTGGAGAGGATTCTGAGAGATAGTATTTATGATTATTTGGAAAAGCACAGTTTGATTAGAAACAAACAAACAGTCAGTATGGCTTTGTGAGGGCAGGTCATGCCTCACAAGCCTTTTTGAATTCTTTGAGGATGTGACAAAACATATTGATGAAGGTCGAGCAGTGGATGTGGTGTATATGGATTTTAGTAAGGCATTTAATAAAGATTCCCCATGGTAGGTTCATTTAGAAAGTAAGGAGGCAAAGGATTCAGGGAAATTTGTCCATCTGGATACAGAATTGGCTGTCTAATACAAGACAGAGGTTGGTAGCAGATGGAAAGCATTCAGCCTGGAGCTCGGTGACCAGTGGTGTTCCGCAGGGATCTGTTCTGGGAACTCTGCTCTTTGTGATCTTTATAAATGACTTTATAAAGGACGTGGAAGGGTGGGTCAGTAAGTTTGCCGATGACACAAAAGGTTGGTGGAGCTGTGGACAGTGTGGAGGGCTGCTGTAGGTTGCAACGGAACACCGACAGGATGCAGAGCTGGGCAAAGAAGTGGCAGATGGAATTCAACCTAGAAAAAAGTGTGAAGTGATTCATTTTGGAAGGTCAAATACACGGTTAATGGCAGGATTCTTGGCAGTGTGGAGGAACAGAGGGATCTTGGGGTCCACGTCCATAGATCCCTCAAAGTTGCTACCCAAGTTGACAGGGTTGTTAAGAAGGCATACAGTGTGTTGGCTTTCAGTGGCAGGGGAATTGAATTTAAGAGCCATGAGGTTATGCTGCAGCTCTACAAAACCCTGGTTAGACCACACTTGGAATATTGTGTTTAGTTCCGGTTGTCTCATTATAGGAAGGACATGAAAGCTTAAGAGAGGGTGCAAAGGAGATTTACCAGGATGCTGCCTGGACTGGAGGGCAGGTCTTATACGTAAAGGTTGAGAGAGCTAGGGCTTTTCTCATTTGAGCGAAGGAGGATGAGAAGTGACTCGATAGAGGTGTACAAGATGATGACAGGTATAGATACAGTGGATTGCCAGGGCGGAAATGACTATTATGAGGGGGCATAATTTTAAGTTGATTGGAGGAAGGTATAGGGGAGATGTCAGAGGTAGGTTCTTTACAGAGAGTGATGGGCGTGTGGAATGTGCTGCCGGCAGTGGTAGTGGAGTCAGATACATTAGGGACATTTAAGAGACTCTTGGATAGGCATATGGGTGATAGTAAAATGTAGAGTATGTAGGGTAGTTTGATGTTAGAGTAGGATAATAGGTCGGCACAACATCATGGGCCCAAGGGCCTGTACTGTGCTGTACTGTACTGTTCTACGTTCTATGTTCTATATAAATCACTCCACTGAGTCACTTTTGGGAAGATGCAGTGAATGCATTGTTTTTCTCATCCTGTAAAGATGAAACGCTTCAAACCTTTTACTTCTATAAATCACAAAACAAATACTTAAAAATGAAAATCTTAACCCTGAAATCCTAATCAATTTGTGCAATAAGGAATTCTTTGTAAGATACTCAAGGAAATAAATTCTATGCACGTTGCTAATTCATCATCATTGGAAGCACTTCTGTGCTGAAGTATCCTCCTGGAAATATGAGGTGACAAATGTACTTTTACCAAATATCTCACTGGTTAAAATGCCTGCATCCTATCTGTTTTCCTTAAAGTTACAAGCAATTATATTCGCAGCACTAATTGCCCCTTCAATTAAACAATCAAATCAACAATGCTGAAAAACAAAACAAAATTTCAGGTCTTGCTTTTGAAGATAATGTTTTAATCTGATGGAAGAAAGCAATTTAGAAAAGTAACACAAGATCGAAAACAATCCAGTTAAGCACAGACAAATGACTGCTGCCCGAGGTCCCTGTTCTCAAATCCTATGGCGATGCTCTCTTGAAAAGGAGAGAGATGGTGGCGCTGCAAAAAGGAAATTGCTTTGCATTTCTGGCATCCGGCATTTGCATCTAGCTGAAAAATACCTGTCTTCATAGTGCTTGAAATGGTCACTTTGGCGTTGGCTCCATTGCACAAGAGCCATTTTAATTCTTACACTGACTATTCATAATGGTCATCCTTTAAAAACTTAATAAAAAAGTAATTTAGTAACAAATTGCATGCACTTTTGTGCTATGAGCTATGACCATTACAAATGAACTCGCAACTATCCAATGTCGACAGACATATAATGCATCTAAAAGCCGAAAGAACTGCGGATGCTGTAAATCAGGAACAAAAACAAAGTTGCTGGAAAAGCTCAGCAGGTCTGGCAGCATCTGTGGAGGAAAAAGAAAAGAGTTAACGTTTCTGGTCCGATGACGCTTCCTCAGAACTGCTCTGTCCTCTGTTCTCAGGAAAGGTCACCGGACCAGAAACGTTAGCTCCTTTTTTCCTTCACAGACGCTGCCAGACCATATAATGCATCTTCACAGTCAACACAGAATTTATCCCACAAGACAGAGCTGATATTGGCAAATCTCCAAGAAAGAGCTGTCAGAATACAAGTTTTTAAAACACAGATAATTACAAACCTGCCTGAACAATCTCATCTCATTTCTAATTGCCCAACCTTTTACAAACAAAATTTATTCATCCAGGTATGCAAAATTAATGCTGAGAAATAAAATTTCTCCAATCGAATGGATCTAATGTCATCAAGCACCCAAGTCAGGTACAGTGTAACACAGCTAGATACACTGAGCAAACCTCTCTCCATTTTCAGTTTCAAACTCACCTTCAAAAAAAATCTCTTATTCAAACACGTGTTCTCCATTTTTCCTAGCAGCCCAGTATTCTCACCAAACTGACAAATTTGTGAAATATTTGAAACAAAAACGGAAACTGATGTAGAGACTCAGCAGGTCTGGCAGCATCTATAGAAAGAAAGCTGAGTTACTGTCTTGAGTCTAGTACTCTGCTTTCTTTCCACAGATGCCGCCAGACCAGCTGAGTTTCTCTCACAATTTCTGTTTTTGTTTCAGATCTTCAGTATCCGCAGTTCTTTGCAATGCCCAATCTTATTTAGGGAAAGGTACCTTTGCAGTCACGAAGAAAAGTCTAACTTCAGCATGACCTGGATGGAAACCTATCCATAAAAGGAAAAACCCAGTGTTCAATCAACAGCCACTAGCAATTTCCTCATTATTCCTCAATTTCTAACAACTAAATACTTCTTTTCCAAATCAGGGAAGGTCACACATCAATTTCTGCCCAACTGACAAACATTTATTTTAGACAAATTGTCAATAACTGAACGCCAATCAGGATTCGAACTTGAATGGACTCCTTGAATAACTGTACCTGTCAATTTTCATGCAGTTTAAAATAAAGGAATTGAGAAGTTGCATCTTGCTAATCTTGAACAAAACATATTGGTTACAAGAAAGGCTAAATCAAAATCCGATATTTTCTTTCCACTCTCAAAGTTAAATGTTAGCTTTTCTTTAAGAAACCACCATTTACCCTAGAAAACAGAACGCTGAGGAATAACTTAGTAGAGATTTCTAAAAATATAAAGTGGTTTGATAGGGTAGATGTAGGTATAGAGATGACATTGCCATATCAACAAGTCCAAACCAGACATCTAAAATATAAAATAGCCGCAAAGAGGCCCAATAAGGAATTCAGGAAAAACTTATTCACTGGAGAGTATGGTTAAAATGTGACTATTATTGATGCAAATAACATAGATACATTCAGGAAATTACTTCTGGGAAAAAGGAATGAAGGGAATGTCGATGGGTTAAGGCAAATAAGGGTGGGAATACATTTGAAAGATGAAAAAACATCAACATAGACCATTTGGTCTGAATAGCCTTTCCTGTGTTGTAACGTTTCTTGCAATTAGGATATATTCAAGTGTACACTGACTAAACTTAAGCGCTGCTAACCACACAAACGCCACAAATAAATCAATAATTTAATGTTCCATGTCCAAGATTTGCACTTGAAAATGATCAGGTACAAGTAATGAATCACAATTTACCTTTCACTACATTCTGCAGCTTCTCCATGTGATCGTGTTCTTTACCATTGTAAATAACTGCTTCAACTGAAAAAATGAGTTTGGGCTGGATTTGAGAGATTCTATCCAGTACACCCTGCAGAGAAATTGGAAATGGTAAAGTTTTAGAAAAGCATGTAACATAAATAATTAATTAAAAATTAGCATCTACATTCAAAGTATTTTCTGTCAGACCAGTACTGAAGAGTAAGTACTTAATGCATTTTGTTTTATTGTTCCTCTTTCCCCACAGTATTGCAATGAAACAAAAATTAACTCAAGGTTCAGACTTGAGAAAACATTCAGCGAAGTTCCTTCAACATTGAGGGAGGAGAAAAGGAACAAAAAAAATGCTTAGGAATTGAAACACAAGAACACAGGAGTAGAAATAGGACATTTGGCCCTTCAAGACTGCTCCACCATTCAATACAATTATGGCTGATCTGGTTGTGGTATCAGATCCACTTTTCTGTCTCCACGATTTGTTTCTCAAAAATCTAATTCAGCACTGAATAAATTTAAAGACACAGCATCAGCTATTACATTATAAGGAAGAGAATGTCATATACTAATGACAGAAAATAAAAAGAAATCCTCATCTCATAAAGGGCAGCTCAGTGATTAGCACTGCTGCCTCACAGTGCCAGGAACACAGGATCGATTCCAGCCTTGGGTGACTGTCATGTGGGGAGTTGCATGTTCTCTTCGTGTCTGCGTGGGTTTCCTCTCACAGTCCACTGATGTACAGGATAGGTGGATTGGCCATGCTAAATTTCCCATAGTCTCCAGGGATGTGCAGGTTGGGTGGATTAGCCATGGGAAATGAGAGGTAGGGGCCTGGGTGGGATGCTCTTCAGAGGGTTGGTGCAGACTTGATGTGCTGAAAGACTTCTTTCCACAATGTCAGGAATCTATGATTCTATGATTCTATCCCTTTGTTAAATGTGAGACCTCTTTTGCTTTAAAACAAATGGTTACAATTTTATTTTCATTCAAGAGGAACAATACACTTGGTACCCACTTTGTCATATTCCCTCAAGATCTTATATGTTTCAATAAGAACACTGCCTCATTCATTTAAACTCAGATGGATACAGGCCTAATGAAGCCTACAATGTGGCAAAGTGTAAGGTTATACATTGTGGTAGGAAGCATTTAGGCATGGACCATTTTCTAAATGGGGAAAGGGTTCCGAAACCTGAAGTACAAAGTAACTTGGGAGTCCTGGTTCAAGATTCTCTTAAGGTTACCATGCAAGCTCAGTTGTTGGTTAGGAAGGGAGATGCAATGTTGGTATTCATTTCAAGAGGGCTAGAAAACATGAGCAGAAATGTACTACTGAGGCTGTAAAAGGCTCTGGTCGGATTGCATTTGGAATATTGTGAGCAGTTTTGGACCCCATGTCCAAGGAAAGACATGCTGGCATTGGAGCAGGTCCAGATGAGGGTCCACAACAATGATCCCAGCGATGAAGGGCTTGTCAAATGGGAGCAGTTGAGTACTCATGGTCTGTAGTTGGAGTTTAGAAGGAAGTGGGGGGATCCGATTGAAACTTACAGGATATTGAGAGGCCTGGATAGAGTGGACATGGAGAAGATGTTTCCACTAATAGAAGATCTAGGTCCTGAGGCATAGCTTCAGTGTAAAGGGATGATGCTTTAGAACTGAGATAAGGAGGAATTTCTTCAACCAGAGAGTGGTGAATCTCTGAAGGCCAAGTCTTTGAGTGTATTTAAGACAGAGACAGATAGGTTCTTGATTTGTAAGGGGATCAAGAGTTATGGGGAGAAGGCAGGAGAATGGAGTTGAGAAACATATCAGCCATGATCAAGAGCAGACTCAATGGGCTGAATGGCCTCATTCTTCCCTTGTATCTTATGCTGTTATCCACTCAATCTTTCTTCATAAGGTAAACCAGTCATCCCATGAATGAGTGAACCTACCCTGAAGTTACTAAAGCAGTTATATTATTTTTTTCAAATAAGAGGCCTAAAAGTCTAGCTGTACTCCAGACCTGATCTCTCTAGACCCCTGTACAGCTGCAGTAAAATGTTCCAAATTTCATATTCTGTAAAACAAAACAAGTAATGGCTGCACAACATGCAACACACAAGCATGGAACATAAAACAAGAGGTACAATTTGTATCAGAGATAGTAGAAACTGCAGATGCTGGAGAATGTGATTTGTAGCTCATTTGTGATTCTTTATTCAAGTGAGAGAGTGACAGATACAACATTGGAATTAAGGTACAGTAAAATATTTCCCAGAAGCCAATGCACCATTTCAAGTAAATCTTTTCAATTCTCTGTATATATCAGTATTTAATCTTGTCCAAAACAGACGTCCTTGAAAAATCTAACTTCTTTAAAATTAATTACACTTCATATATGTAAAAATGAGAACATTGAATTGAATACTAATTTCCTCAGGACCCTCTCTATGATAAAAGTGTCTCTGACAGTGAAGTCTCCAGTATAGTCTGCATTTAGGTTCAGGACTGTTAATATGCCCACCCTCATCCAATTAAATAAACAGACAGTATCATATAGTGAACAGTATCACTGGGGTAGTCTGGCTCATTAGAAGACAAGAGACCATGAGTAAAAAGTTCAAATCAAATCATCTAAAAAAGTAAGCTGCAATGAAGGAAGTGACAAAAGTATTCTGAGCTTTAAGTATGTCATATAGAGCCAGTTGAAACACAAGAGATGAGAACTTCAGTTAGCTTGGAAATGAAGCAACAGGACAAAAGATGTGAAATCAATCAATTATTAATCATATGAATGGGAGAGCTCACTTCAAAACTTGGGGACATCCAATTCTTTGTTCAACAAATTTAATATCCTTCCATCCTAATTATCAACAGCATCGCTGAAGCTAGGCATTTATCAAAGATATATTTTTGGATAAAAGCTGAGTTTCTGAGATCACATTTTTAGTCTAATATGATCAGCCCATACTTCAGGATTTAATAAAACTATGTGGCCTGTCAATTAATGAAGATATTCACAAGGAAAGAGACTAGAAAGTATCATGAAACTTCAGAGCTACATTGTCATCTTTAATCTCCATAGCACAGCATGCAGCCAAGTGTTGTCAAAAAGATGAAATAGAACCAAAAGATATCTCAGGATCAATGACAAAAAAAAAAATCTGAATTCAAAATAGTCTAAATTCTAATTACAAATCCTCAAAATCATATTTGTGAAGTTTCTGACTTAGACTAGAGATGAAGAAAATAAAACAATTCAAAGTCTTCAAGCAGAGAAAAAAGCTTACAGTCAAAAATACAATCAGATTTATTAATTCCCTCTTATGTCTGAATATAAACATAACACTTTTTCAATTTCACTTTAATACGTAAATAACTTAAATGCATAACATGGTGCTGTTCCAACTAATTGCTCGAATGTCACTTTCATTAACAATACTGGCCTCCTTAATGTAACAGAGATTTTGATGTATTCAGTTGTATTTGAGAGTTGAAAGAGTTGAGATTTTCCATCAACTTCAAACGTACCAATTAACTGAAGATTTTACTTCAAAACAATTTAGTCAATTTTTGAAATGTTAGTTTGTCATAAAACCAATTGCTAGATTTTTAAAAGATTACTATTTCGTAATTTGTAGACTGTTTTGAAACTTTTACAGTTCCAGAAATAATCTTTAACCAGATAAATAAGGAATCCTCACTTGTTATCCCAAAGGCTCAGCTCATTAATCCACGGATAATCATACAGACAGGAAGGTCCTAGCTCTAATCTTCAGTCACTGCTGATATGTCTGTTAATGCAAGGAGTTAAACATCTTAATGGTGCAAGGGAGGGAAAGAGAGCATAAAGCTCAGTGTCTAGACATGTGGTGGCCTGAAGGAAGGGGAGGATAACCCAAGATGTAAGAATTGGAAGAACGCAGACTACCCAGAGGGGTGTACAGAAGGAGAGGAGTAAAGCCATTGGAGTACATCAGCTTGTGGATATCCATTTTAATGACACTGCAATACAATGATGACTCAGCAAGGAAACTATGCTTTCAAAGCATGGAGACTGAAAATTGGCTAGGGAAGGACATTTTTAATAATGTATATAAAATGCAGTTCAAGACTAAAAGGATAAGCATTGCCATAAATAATCAAATACTGTATGTTTTAGTGACTCCAGTCCTATTCGTACAATAGAAACATTGGCCTGGATTTTAATGAAACACACCAAATATCATGTTACAACATAATACCATGACTACTGCATAGATTGTCAGATTGCTGCAGTGAGTTGCAGGTTAGAAAAGGAATTACAGGGATTTCTCTGGAACAAAAACAAAGTTGCTGGAAAAGTTCAGGAGGTCTGGCAGCATCTGTGAAGGAAAAACCAGAGTTAACGTTTCGGGTCTGGTGACCCTTCCTCAGAAC